GATACCTGAGAGCTAGGTTCGAGCTGAATGAAACTTAGGTGGACGAGGATATCCTCTTAAAATTACATCCCTTTAGCTTCTCAGGTACTTGAGTTATCAATTTACACGAAAAAAATTTTAGCGGGCCCGTATGTGGGTACCACGCTTACCCAGGGGCTGGGTTTGAGCTCGCTAATACCCACATGGACGGGGAACATCACCCTAAGATTTCAGCTTTCTAGCATCTCAGAACTCCGAGTTATGAATTTACGCGGGAAAAATTTTGGCGAGCCCGAGCGCGGGTACCACGCTTACCTGGGTGTTAGGTTTGAGCTCATCAGCACCTGTTTGGACGGGGAACATACCCTTAAAATTTCAGCTTTCTAGCTTTCCTAGTTTGCGAGTTATCAACTTACCCTAAAAGGACTTTGGCGGGCTCTTACGCGGGTACCACGCGGGTAAGACCGCCCCTTTTGGGGATGGGGGACCGTACGTGCATGTAGATTATGTCCCCAAAGTTTCAGCCCTGTAGCTTTTGCCGGTCTCCAGATGAAAAATCGGTATAGACGAACACACAGACACACGCACACACAGACAACCTCTCGTCAATGTGCGTTTTCTGCGTTGCATGGCTGCAAAAAACGCATAAAAACACATAAACATTTTTTCTGTCCAGTGCTGTCATTCGGGTGGTCCCCCGCGCTCGTCCTTCGTTCATATCCAGGCGGTTGCTGCGCCTCACCTCAGTTTCGGTTGCTGTTGAGCCCAGGCAAGGTGGGAAAGATCTCAAACAATTGAAGTGTTGTAGTCGCGTTTTTGATGTAGGCGTGAGCGTAATAAAGTGCTGCTCAGAATCTACAAACAATTTATAGCGGCACGCACCAGGGCAGCCAGCGATACGATCATGCGTTTTGTGCATTTCCGTCCACTGAACGATTGTCTGCTAAATGATTTTATTTTCGCTGCTCTGATATCAAATTTGAGGCGTTGCACGTGGGCAGGGGATGGTCCCACAGGATTTCAGCTTCCTAGATCCCGCAACTCCCAAAATAATAATTTACCCGTCAAAAGTTTTAGGGAGCCGTATTTGTTACCCGCAGGCACGGAAGACTGAATTTAAATTTTCTGGGTCGCACGTGGACAGTGGGCAGAATTTCAGCTTGCTAGCTTCCATGGATAGCAAGGGAATGATTTTCTCCGCCCAAAATTTTTCAGGGCTGTACGTATTACCCGCCGGTACGGGAATTTAAATTTGCGGAGTCATACGTGGGTGGGGAACATTCCCTAAATTTTTAGCTTCCTAGCTCTTATGGTTCCCGAGTTGAAAGTTGGGGAGGTACTCAAACACGGGCAACTCCGTGACAATCTGCTGTTATACAGCACAAAATGCATAAAAAGTATTAGTTGTGCGAGTTGGGAGACGCCGTCGCAACACTGCGGGTGAAGGCACGGCCGATGAGTCGTTGTTTTGAGTTGTCTCTTGCGCACTGTGCATTCGTGTCCTCG